TTGGGGGGGTCGGTAGAGTCGGGCCCAGGAGCGTGCCGCGGCCCCGCAGTGCCAGTGTCCCCGGTACGCCTGCCCCCAGCTGCGGTGGAGGGGGAGCAGGCAGGAAAAGGCGAAGAAACAGACGGGGGAGAGGAGTCACGGCTTCAAACCCGTCTGTATGCTTTGCCGGCAGCACCCCGTGATTTCGGGGGGGAGAGTGTCCAGCGGTGCGGTTTGGAGAGGCTTACGTAAAGAAGCCCTCGGTTGAAATAAAGATGAGACGTGTCCCCGGGCGCGCGGGCTATTTATAGCAGCGTGCTTGTGTTGCTCGTCATTCCTCTGGCACTGGGGATGTGAACCGCGCATAAACAAGTGCGCTTTTATTAACGCCAGGGGCCTGGGCTCCAACGCTGGGACGATAGATCTTGGAGGATTATTGTGTTGACACGTCTGCCGTGGAAGGACGATCCACCAGCACCTTGTATTAATGAGTCAGATTCTTAACTGAAACCTTATGTAATTTCTTCCCAGCAATGAGCCACTTGTCAGGAATAGCAGAATGATTTCCAGGGCAAATTCAAACTGATCCCTTGGCCAACACATCCTTATTTTAATGGTGCTTTGAGGATTTACAGCAATAGTGGGTCCCTGATTGTCTTTTTTTCCCCCCCATGTTGTTGTATGCCCTTCTTCTGTTTGCTGACATGATATTTTTGGTTTTGCTCTCCCTTAGTGCTTCCCTCAGTCAGACCTCCTGTGGTCCACCTCCATATACAATCCAGAATACACCTTACTCAGGGCAGAAGAGAGAACTAGAAAATGACCACTGGTGAAGAACTGGTACTTTTATCATGAAGTGCACGCACAAAAATGTGCTTTCAGATATGTTGGGCCTTACGGGAGTTAGCAGTCACAGGAAACTGCAGGAGTTACTCTAAAGCTGCACTGATAGATCTATTTTGAGGGCATAGCAGTACCTTAAATGGCCTCTCAGTATCTCTTCCAGCCTTACATTGTACTCCATTACATTGCTCAGTTAACCCTATCATTATGGGCACAAAAGGCAACTCATACCCAAACAAAAAAAAGACACTGAAAGGTGACAGACCAGGCACCTGAGCGTTCGTTCCATCTCCTCTCTGTTCCCAGCAAGCTCTTCCTTGCATTGTAGATAGCCCACTCTTGGATGCCTGCATCCACCTCCCTGCAGAGTAAGCAGGGATGCTGTGGATATGCTTCAAAGCAGTCTATGCCCCAGATAGCACATGCCCCAAAGGCACACTTAGCTGAGAACATTAGTGCATTCATACCAAGAACATTGCCCAGCTGCTCCCAGCATGCTCCCTTCCTGGTGGACTTGATAGAGAAATCACAAAAGCAGTCACACAGCTTATTCTTATATCTACTCTCATTTGTTTTCCCTGGGCTTTGTATTAGTTTGGACATGAGAGTTTCTTGATAGAAGATGACAAGTGCTGGAGGTATGATGTGGTGTTAACGATAATCACCCATTGAAAGCTAATGGCACTTCTGTACTTCCACTCCAGTGATTCCTTACAGATCTGGAGTAGCCACTGCTGGGGAAAAGGCCTGATTTGGAATTTGTTAAAAGTTAAAACGTCCTGCTTGGAGCTTAACAGATGTGGCTTTATTACTTGCTAAATATTTTCTGGAAGATTTAAGGTTAAAAGAAGAAATTGTTGGAAAATATAAATTGATGAGATGTCCCTTTGCCTTTCTTCTTTCTCAGAACAGCTTGAATTAAGAAGATCTCTTTGATTTCAAACCAACTCATTGAGAACTGGGGGGCTTTGAGCTGTTTCTTGATAGAGCTGTGCATGTGAATGTATTTTGTGAATGGTCCTCAGCTACCAGTGCTGTATTTTAAAGAATTAAGAACTTCTTCGGGATGGGCATGAATTTTGAAAACCCTGTCAGGTATTCTCTGGATACTGCAGGTGGACTGTCACCTTCTTTTGTGTCCCTTGTGCTCTCTCTGTTGTCACTTCACTGACTTCCTTGAAGTGACTTCAGGGGATGTGCAGCTGGTTGTAGCAACTATGCCTATGCTTTTCTGGGCTTGAACTGGTGAAGCACAGTGGCAAAATGTCTTCAGGGGAAATTTTGTGTCATCTTCTCAGTGCTACTAGTAAATATACTTTTTAAAGCAAAAGTGTCTAAATCGCAGAGAAAATAATTGATTGTTTCATACATGCTCTGCACCTTGGGAACTGCATTTGGATGGTGTCTTGCAAAGAAAGCGAGAAACATCTTGCAGTTCATGGGAAGAGTTCAGCAGAGTATGTTTTCAGAACTGCCTGGTAAGAAGTTTGGATGGAGCAAGTCCTGGGACATTGGCAGGACATCCTGGATCTGTTTTCCTGCTCTCAGGCTGCTTTATAGCCCATTTGAGTTGGGGTGTTGAAGGGCACTCAGAGGTGAGAGGCAACTGTTGACTGGTCCCAGTGCTTATGCTACAGCAGCAGAGGAGCTGGCTGGGTGCTCCTTCCAGTCTCCAGAGAGCTGTGCAGGGTTCCCAAAACATCTTACTGCTGCTGGCAGCAGTGCAAGCATGAAAATCAAATTGATATGTTCAAAGTGAACCACAAGAGCTGGTTCCCGTGGTGCTGTGCAGACAGGTCTATATGGGAGTATCCAAGTTTTTCAGGGGAGAGCAGACATCCCCTGCGCAATTCTCTTGTATTTGGGATATTCTCCCTCTCTGCTTCACCAGACAATGGTAGAAGTTAAGAAGTCCTTGCTGTGTGGTTCATACATCCCTTTCCAGCTGTTTTTAGGTTAAATACATTGAGTAATTAATCTGTACTATATATGGTGGATACGTGCCAGATGGTAGCACACTTTTGAATAGTTTGCTGCACTCTACTCTCCAGCATGCAAGAGCTGAGTAAATTGATCCTACACTTTCTGAGCTAAGCTTAATCTTTTATTGTCTGTCCAGTGTAGTTCACAGAAGCACAAGCTCCATTTTTACTGCGGACAATTGCAAGCACCAAAAGTGGGAATCGCTGTTGGTAGAAAGTGCAGGGTTTATGGGTTTCCCCTTTGCCATTGCCATCTAGATGACATCATAAAACGCCACAGGAAAGAGCAAACAGATGCCAGTGCCACGGGGGACAGGCAAAGGCAGCAGGTCAAGAACAGGAATTCAGCACATGGGTTTGGGCGGCCCCGTTTCCATGCCTGGATGCAGAGGAATTTGCAAGGTAGGTGCACACCTTGTGACGGTGGAGACCTGCCAAGCTGGAAAGCACATTTGTGTAACAAAATACAGCTCTTAAATCCTTCTCCAATCTAATTCCTATGTGTGTATAAGATGTACTCGGGCTCTGAATAGCTTTTCTCTCAGCAATGATGGAATATCAGGGCCCTTTCAGAGCATATATTCATCTATTTCTCTCCCTTCCACCCTCATGATTTACTAATTCAAAGTGACTTAATATCTACTCTCTATTTCTTTTTGGCTTTGCATATTTTAATTATAATCCTCTTTTTTCCAGAACACACTTAAATTACCCTTCCAGTAACTGTCTTTTATAGCTCAGCTATTGGAGCTAATTTGTCACTTTTGCCAACCATGCTATTTTTATGATGAGTTTTTCTATAAAACTGAGTGATAACACACTAATGTGTTTCGTTCCACTAGCTTTTATCTACAAAACCAAAGTGCTGAATGAAGTGCCATCTCTTATCAAAATTTTACCTTTTTTAAAAAAAAAAATTACTGCTAAATCACTTAATTGAAGATTTTAGTGACATTTTGCAGCGATGTCTTTGCAGTCTTCCCTTGGAGTGACAATAGGACATCAGGACAGTGGGATTGCTGGGAGCAATCCGGCTTGCCTGCAGTCTGTCTCCCACTCTCATATTTTCAGTTTCCACCACATATTGCCTTACTGAAAATCATTCGGTTTTGAAACAGAATTATGATAATTGCCTTTTGCAAATTGATTTTTCTGTCAAAAACACAGGCTTTGATATTCTTCCACCCCCAACCACTGCATGCAGAGTGAAGTAAGTCAAACAATTTTTTTTTTAATCTGTTCCTTAGGAAGAAACTTTACTGTTCATTTATAGAATTATTTCTACTAGTCCTAGTATTTCATAGGTTTTAACTGAGTCTGAATTCAGCCCTGTCAGGTGCAAAGACCCACTGTGCTGTGTGGTGCTGATGTCAATAGAAATTTTGAGAAAGCTCAGAACACCTGGGAATTTAGCCCACAGTTCTTCAGGGGCTCATTTCACTTAGGTCCGTGCTGAAATGCAGTCCCTTCTGGGCTGAGACATAAGCATTATCAAAATGATGATCAGAACAGCCTAGCATTATCATGACAGAAGATGGACAAGGGTATTATGCTGATTAAACCAGCAAGAGAATTTGTGGAAGCAAAGTGGTGTTGTTCCTCCTGTAGCATGGCTTAGACCATCTCCCCTGTGGGGAAAAGATGATTTTTAATGACAAGAAATTTGAATTTCAAATCTCTTCAGAAAAAAGAGTCTATTGGACATCAGCGTTCCTCCCCAAACTGGACTTACTGGGCAGAGGTGTCCCTTGGCCAACCCAGGTGTGCTTACCACCAGGCTCTGAGCATGCACCCGAACACAGTGGGGGTCTTCCACAGCTGCTGATGCTGAGGGGTTTTATTCAAATTTCTTTCATTGATAAATATCTGCCAGACTTTCTGCAGAGATGGAGCCTCCCATGTGTCACACTTCAGGATATACATGACAGGCTGAGGCCTTGGTCCCCATCTGGTGTACACGGGGTACCCCTCAGGGGCTGATGGCTCTGTTGTTAGTTATTTACACTGGCTGAGCTGTGCCTGAGCACGCTGCTGAGCAGAGGCTCTCTAATATGAAATGACTGACAGGGGCATGATTTCCTCGTCAGGGCTGCCTTTTGCATCAGTCCCTCCCACTGCACTGACGAAATATCCAGGAAAGGCAGCTGAGCTTAGTCTCTCTTGCTGCAGAGGAGATGTTTCCAGGGTGCAGTAGAACTGTGTTGCAAGGCTTGGTTGCCCACAGGAGGGTGGTCTCACAAACAGGCAAGAGAGAAGGGCAAGCCCAGAGTGGTTTTTGAAAGGAACAAGAAAGAGAAAAACAAACTCTGGGCATAGAACCAGGAGGGAAGAAAGGGCCATTGAACACAGTGAGACCACATCTGGTCAAAAAGACACAGACTGCCGAAATTGGAGTGTTTGTCAAGAAGGGAACATTCACATACCTGTACTTCTGTGGTGAGAGAGCATCATTTGCAAAGAAGATAACTACTGGTCCTACAGAGCTTGTGAATAGGATTGTGGTTTTGTCAGTGATCCCAGCCAGCACCTCTGGCTGCAGGGAGTGAAGCACCCCAGTGTGCTGTTCAGGAGGTGCTTCCCACAGCCAGACCCTGGTGCCCTTTTAATTTACAGTCAGAGCAGCTAAAATCATCTTCACACGTATTGTAGTGGAACCAGCCCATGCTGGTGCTGACCAGGGTTACCCCCTGGGGCTGGAGTCTTCATTAGTCATTGCAGTGCTGGCCCCTGACAGCAATCTGCTGCCTCACAACTCTTCCTGTCTAATTGCTCCAAGTCATTATTAATCGTTGTGATGTAGGAATCAATGGTATAGGATCAATATAAGCACCTACCTGCTCTGTGGTTTGCATCAGTAAGGTTCTGCTATATGGTCCAGGATTTAACTGCACTCTTGCTGCCCTCTCCCATGCACTGCTTTGTGCCTGATTTATTTATACAGTCTTCTGAGTATGTGTGCACATTTCACTGGTACAGCAAAGGAAGGTATCTGCTTCATTATGACTACACAAGTTTATCATGTAGAGAAATTAGACTTTAATGCACTGTGCCTGTGGAGGTCTGATGGGGTGGTCTCCTCTTGCTGAACACTTCAGCACACTTCAAAATCATAAACAGGCTTAGGGGAAAACATTAACGGAAGATGTGCTGTTGCTATGTCCATACAGTGCAGTTACGTAAAGCAGCAGCAGAAGATGCCCTCTTCAATATATGCAGTAAGTAAGGACATGTCAAGCTAAAAAAATAAATGTTTTACATACATATATATATAAAAATTATGGTCCAGTCTTCACTTACCAAATGCTATAATGTGAACACTGAGCTATTTCAGGCTGCTGTGGAGTTTGCTTCTGAATACTCGAGTCACTTGTGTATCTGTATCAAAAGGCTTTTTCCATTCTACAGTTAATTCATAGCAATGTGAGCTCTGGCAACAGATTGACAGGTTTCCTGATGTGACTGTTCCTGCCTTTATTAGGACCCAGAATTGTGGAAGGCTTTTTTCTTCTGTATTCTTTCAAATCAAATAATGTGTTTGTCAGCTCTACATATAATAAGAATGTTCATGAGACATTGGAAAGATAAGTTATGCAATGTTCTGCAAAACTAATTTAGTTTTCTGGAATAAATTACTGTGATTCTTGCATCACTATTTATATAGATACTCCTATATCATATTAAGTTGACCCTGTAATCCATTTTCAAAACTGTAATTCTAAATCAAGTTTTGAAGGATGCTAAAATAAGATTTTATTTTCTTAGGACCTAACTGTTTCAGAAGAGGGTTTGGACAACAACAATACACTCGGAGGCAATTCAGGAATACTGCGCCCGGTCCCAGGAGAAGAGCAGCTGCTGCACTGAGTGGAGTGAGCCCTTTAAATCGCCAGACATCAGCTCAAGAGGTAAGAGGGTAAAGAAGGTGTGTCTGTTCCCAAATGTCATGTAGAACTCTGCTGGATTTTATGATCCTGGATCACCCCAAAGAACAATCTACATGAAAAATTTACAGGCGCCATCTTTTATATGCCTGAGCACAGCACTTGTATGCATAGGTGACTACAGATGCATCTGTATATAAAATAGCAATTTTCCAGTTGGTTTTATAAGCTTATGACGTGGCATAATTTTACTGAATCAGTTCCCATGGGTTTTACAAAAAGGACTTTTTAAAAATGTTTTCTTAAAATATTTAAAAGGATTTCCATAAAAACAAATTCCATGTCATCTCATTTTACTATTATCATTTAGAGGAGGTATGTTAAGATTCACCATTATTTGTCCTCCATCCTGAGCATTTTTCAAGGTCTATTGAAGTTAGAGGACAGCCTGTTGTTGACTTCAGGTAGCTTTGGTTCAGAGACATACTTTTCAGTAGCAAGTGGGTACCACCCTGGAGACACTGATTCCCAGTACTGTCACAGCCATGGGTCAGATTGCCCACGTGCTTCAATGTAAAATCCGTTTTTTTTTCATTCATGGCTTCCCCTTTTTCAAGTTTAAATCTTGAGGTCTTGTCTCTGCTCAAAAACACTTCTAGAAAAAGTTTGAAATGCTTACTTTTGGTTTTCAGTTACTTTTAAGATTCAAGAGATGGGAAGGATGGTACGTGTACCAGCACTGAAGTAATTCTTACAGCTTTCTTCTGAGTTTCACTAATATTAAACTGGCTTGGTGTAGAAGGTGAAAGTCAAGTGGATAGATCGTCCTCTCTGAGAAGGGATTGTTTTTTTCTGTACTAATGGAAATTCACTCAACTAGGAGGTCATGTATGCTCAGTAAGCTTTTAAAAAAACACCAGTGAGGCAAACATGATGGCACATTTAATGGCTGTGTCCTGGGAGTGTAAATAAGAGAGCCCTAAACTAAGCATGCATGCGCATGGGGTGTGGTTATTCCTGAAAGTAAAGACTGCTATGACTCAGATATTGAGCATGCCCAGGTATTGACAGAAAGTAATAAGCAGTTGCTATGAGGCATAATTCTGCAGTAGCTTTCATTTTGCAGAAATAAACCAAGTGGGAAGAGTGTGGAAACACATCTCACTTAGTGGGTAGTAACAGTGATAGTGGTTGTTCACAGAAATAAACAGGATAGAGCCTGTGGCAGTTTGTACAAGTAACTGCAGGGGTACCTACACTGCTGAGGGGTCTTCTGCTGTGCTTCATGTTGCAGGGCTTGGATCAGACAATGTACGTACCCAAACAAGAAAGAGTTCATGACCAAAAAGAAACCTGAGCAAAGCTATAATGCTTGGCTTGTGTGAGATATGCTGTCTGTGAGCTGTTTTTTGTGTTTCTGCACCATTACAATGAAGCATTCTTCCGGGTACTTTTAGTCTTATACCCAGGAACCAAGGCACACATTTTTGACAACAGTGTACACTAAGTCCAAATGTTGAGACTAGAGCAACACTGCTTGATAGCAATATTCCTGTGGGAGATAAAAAAAAGAACATGGAAGAGAGCAGGTTTTAAATAGATTTAATGAGGAATTTCCTATCAAGAAAATAGCAAAGAAGGGAAAAAAACACTTGCAGAGCAGGTTTCTTCTGTTTCAAGACTGTAGAAGTTGGAAAGGAAGAACAGTTGAAAATGAGAATACAGGGACTGCAAAGAGACAGTGTGGGGCTGAGCCCTCTTTGAAGCAATTGCAGGTGGGGCTGAGAGTGTCCGAAAGCAGCAAGGGAATCGCTGCAGTGTCAGCAATCACCATCTGCCCTTTGGTGCAGCTGGATTTCCCCTGAGACAGGGCCAAAGCAAATACCAAATAACTGCACTGGCTTTGCAGGCAGAGGGAAGGACAGTTGTGTGCTGTCGCTTGCGCTTGCTCCCTCTTTGCGCATTGAGGTTTCTGCTCAGTGCTCGGGTGGTAACTGCTGAGCTCCCGCTGCTCTTTCAGGGCAAGAACAACAATACTTTCACCAAAAGCAGCAGCAGTGGACAGCCAGAGGGACGGCGGCGGCTACCTCCAGGCCCCAAGAGGTTCAGAGCAGCTGCTGCCAGCACCCACACCCCAGGAAGAAGGTAAAATCTTTGGTAACTCTGGACATTTTTGGTTTCCGGTGATTTCCAAAAGAGCACCTGGGGCTCTGCTCTTGTTCTGTGCCAGCTGGGAGTGGCTACAGCCATGTGCTCATGCAACATGAGAAAAGTACCCTTGGGTACATTAGGAAAGCACCTGAAATAAAACAACCTTTTGCTGATAGTTAGTAATTATTAGATCTGTCATTTTATTTTAGAAAGCATGGAAAGCGTGACCTTGGTGTTTTTATTAAATTTTTCCTCTGTCACTTTGGGGAAAATTTTTGAAGGATGAAATAGCATTTATTTTCATAAAGGCAGGAAATACATTTTCCAGCCGTAAGGGATAGGCAGGGAGATGGAGTCTGTCCTGGTGAGGGGCTGCAGGAGCAGATGCTGTGCCCCAGGAGCTGTGAAGAAGGCAAGCTGCCAGGCGCAGTCTTGGTGCCTGTTCTCCTTGTGTTCTCCAAGCTTGAAAGGAAGCTCTGTTGCAATCTGCCTTTGTGCTCTGAGTCGAGCAGGTACTGAATGACCTCCAGAGGTCCCTTCTGACCAGATATTTTTCTGATATTCTTCCATGTGTTTTCTTTTTTTTTTTTTTTTTAATGAGCTGAGATCAGAACAAACACTAGCTGTTATTTCATTTGAGCAGAAAAATGAGTTCCTCTGAAACCCTTTGCTGGAAGAAAAACCTGCTGGGCTGAACTTGGTAACACACAGCCTCATTTGCTGCTTATACTTTTTAATACTATACTGGGTTAGGTATTTCAGCATTAAACTTTAGAAGAGACCTGCCATCATATTCACCTATGTCCTTTTCTCTCTCCTTCTTCACCAGCAGGCCTTTCCTGCTAAACAGGGGACCAGTCTTCCAGCAGAAGCGGATGCAGCAGAGGTTCTCCAAAGCCAACTTTCAGAGAAGAGTCAGTATCGAGACATTTTTCTGCAACCTGCTGATGCTCACAAGCCTTCAGTTTTTCCAGCTGTTGTCCATTTGTATCTTCGCTTCCAAAAGTAACTGGGAGTGATGGGTGACTTTAACAATGAATATGTTCCTAGGGAAGTATTTGCAGGACAGACATTTTTTAATGCAGCTTAATATTCTGGTAGCTGGAAAATAAAGTCTGGGCAGGTGATAAAAGTAAACCTTGTAGCTTATAAAGCAGCACAAGCAGGGCAAGGTAAAGCCACTCCATACAGATTGCTGTGGCAGCAGGAAAGTCCAAATTAGCACATTACTTGACAACATGCAAGGAAAGAGTGATTCAGATATACCAAATGAAATACTGGAAAAGGAATAACTGCTTCTGAAAGCTAATTCTTTAAATATCTTTTTAAAATATATTTCACAGCAGATGGATGCTAATGGAGGAGGGAAACCACCGAGAATGAGAAGGTAATTGGTGAACAAAGGCATGCTGCAAACATGACATGCTCTTTCATGCTCAAATCAAAGCTGGACCCATCTCCCTGTCTCAGCAGGTGGCAAGTGAAACCCAGCCCTGGAGCAGTTCTGACGGTTTCTGTGGCTAATCCCCAGGCAGGCCAGACCAGCACGTAAGTAAATGAGGTGATTTATTAGGATGGGAGCCCTACAAAAGCCATTGCAAATCCCTTTAGCATTATTGCAGCATTGCTTCTTCTATGTGTGCGCAATGAGTGGTTCAGACCCAAAATGGTTAGCAAACGATGTCTCATTCCCTTCCCGGCGTGTCTGAGAGGAGACAGTAATTACCATGGTCCAGAGTAAGGAGAGATGGAAGCGCTGACAGTGGGTGGTAGGTGTCAGGCTGTTTGTGCTCACTGCAGAGTGTGGTGGGTGAACCGCCACATGCCCCAAAGGGGCACACTCACTGTGTAAGAGGAGTGCAGAAGCTGGAAGAGGGAACCTTCACCCCTGGCCTGAGCTGGTGCAGCTGCAGGACCTGGCATCTAGCTAGGAGCAGAAAGAAAGGTAGGTGAGGGCACTTGGTGTGTCCTGGGTGCAGAGAGCATCCCATGATAGCCTTGAAGTGACAAGTGCCACAGTGCTGGAACTCAGCCTGTGCGGCAGCTCTCCTGGCACCCTTCAGGTTCACACAAGCTGCCGTGTGACGTCATGGGATGTATGGGGCATGTGGGTGTCTCCTATTCTCCTAGCTGTTTTGCGGATGACAGGAAGCGAGCTGCCTTGGCATCCTGAGTGACTGCAGATCTGTGCTTTCCCCAGGCCCGGATCCAAGCGCCCGTTCCTGCGAAGCCAGAGGCCCCCACCGCGGATGGCCAAGCCCCAGCCTAAAGGGGTGCTGCTGAGATTCAACTTCCGTGCAATGGCCAACCAGGTAGAGGATTGTCGACGGGACAGGCAGCACCTTGCACCCTGCAGCAGCCCTGCCACTAAACTGTTAACGTCATACTCAGGTTTTGGGGCCTGTCAGTTGGGTTTATCTAGCATAATCCAGGAGGAAGTTCCTGTAGGCTAGGTAGCTCGCAAAACCAAAGGCACCGGAGAAGACTGTTCAGCAACTACAGACTCAGCCCAATTTTCCCCACTGTTGGCTCCTCTTGGCCTGTCCATGTGCTTGCTCAGTGGGGAGATGCTGCTTGTGAGCGATCCTTGCGGGGGAAATTGTTCCATTGTTGGTGCTCCCTACTCCTCAGAGATATACAGCACTTCTGGGCTTTGCTCTCTCTTTGCTGTGGTGACATTCTTGGTGCCACATTTTATGCTGAAGTATGGTCCAAGAGCACCGGGGGCAGGTCAGAAATCCTGCTGCACATTCTTCATTACTGGAGTTTTTTGTCTGGACAGTTTGGTTTTACTTGATGCCTTGTGCTCGAATGCCATCTGCTTGCTCCTTGTTCTTGCTGAGGACACCCAGTATCTTGGGGCTGGTTGCTGCTTGGAGGCTTTCCAGCCACACACAGTCTGTTGAGCTCCTTGTTTCCGTGTGCTGAGTGGTTTAATTGACTAACTGGCTGTGAAGAACCATCCTGACTGATGGGCTCTAATCAATACCCTGCTACAAGTTTGGCCATGCCTTGCTACAAGATGCAGGACTGACTTCTTTCCCTTTCCCCTGCAGACCAGCCTGACGCTGGATGAGAGGTTCTCTGGTCTGCGGAATAAAAGGCGCTTTACAGCAGCCAGGAGCAGCGGCCGGACGGTCACCATGCCTTAGCACTGCATACTCCTCACAGGGACTGCCCCTAACAGTCCAGGCCCCTTAATGGGCAACTCAATAAAACTCAATAGTTTTCCTCTGAGTTAGCTAATTTGGCAATGTGCCGTCTCCTTCCTTACGTGCAGAATGAATGAACGATTGAGGGCAGGGGTGAGGCAGGATGAGAGTCAGAGCCAGAGTACAGGGGAGGTGGGACATGAGCAGAGGTAGATTTGCTGGGAGCACTGCTAGGGAGCCACCAGCCCTGTACCCCTGCCAGGACACCCTGTGCTGGCTGGGGTGACTCCTGCAAGATGGAGTGGGGACCCAAGTCATAGCCATGGAGCCTTCCCTGCATTGTTCCAAGGGTAGGACAGGCTTGAAGACACCTTGCCTGCCTGTGTGGGAGACAGAGTGGGGAGCAGAGCATGTGCAGGGCTGAGGGACGTGCCCCAGCAGTGGCACCAGCAGGGATGCTCGAGCTCCCCACGTTCCCCAGCAGCCACGTAACTGCCCAGTTTGTTGTGTGTGCAGGCATCCCTGCCTGGAGGTTTGCAGTGTATGACCCCTCCTCCCTCTGCCCCAATAGTCAGGCCTAAGCACCTTGCATTTCTCTTTGGTTTGCTGTGCTGTTCTGACTGCTGCTGCTGGCCCAGTTGCAGGGACGGGGTGAAATATGCTGTACTGTGCTGCCAGAGTGACTGTCTTTGGTGCAGAGCACAGACAGGCTGGCTCAGCCCAAATCAAGTTTGCCAGTGCTGCAGTAGTTCTGCATTGGGGATTTCATAGGTGCATCTCCACCCATGCTCAAAGCACTGGCATAATCAAACTAGCAGCTGTAGGAGGGAGGTCAGGCTCTACAGCAGTCTGACAAACATTGGCTGATACGTTAATGAGCTGGGCCTGGACATTTGTTAATGAAGCCCTGAACCAACTATGAATCCCTGATCCATTCTCCACCCACTGCTGCAACCCAGCACTGAATGCGCTGGACATAGCCTATTTCTGGGCTCTAGGCTATACTTATTAAAAGTAAATATTTGCTAGACTGCATTACATTTTACACCAAGCATCCTTAACAAGAGACTGGACTCAGCGTTGGTTTTATAGGAATGTGTGAAATGCTGTTGAGAAAGTGGTGATGTATGAGTCCAATGCACTGGAATAAAAAAACTAACTTGTCAGATGTCGCCTCCGGTTATTTCCCTTCCTTCAGCAGGCTTTTGGCACAAATTCAGCCTCAGTGTGGCACTGTGGGGCACAGTACACATGGCCTCCTGGGCTACTGCATCCGTCCCCATTGGTGCCCACCCACGGGCAGTTGGGCACGGGCCTGGCCGTGAGGGCAGTCTGCTGCCCACAAAGCTGGCTCCAGAGCACAGCCAAATCAGTGGGAGGTTTTCAGTAGGCATTTTGTGAAATCTTCACTGTGATCTCTTTTGCATTATTGGCAAAATTACCTGAGCAGACCTGGCTCCAAGTGTGTCCAAAGTGAAATGAATGCAAACTGACTCCCAGGTTACTGAACTTGGGAGAAAACATCACCTCTTTGTGCAAATAATCCAGATGTCATGGAAGCTGAACAAGAAACACTGTCACAAATGGCAATATCCCTGATTTCAGTTGCACCTTCAGTATAAATATTGCCAGAAGATGGTAGACTTGCTAAGAGAACCCGATTGCTTCTTAAACCAGGTTACAAAGGGATGGAGCTGTTCAGTCCCAAAAGAGCAGCTGAGTGTGCAGCATTCCTTTGGTGTTCAGAGCATACTCTGATGCTGTTCTCCACAGGTGTTTTTCAGCAGTCTGTAGCTTAAAAATTATGAAGTATTCCTTAAATTAAAATTGAGGGCTTAATGATAAAAACAACACTCTTTTTTTCTAGTTTGATTCCCTCACTGGGCTGGGTGACTTTGCATGCAGCATGCGAAGAAACACGCTTTGCACAGAACGGCACTGAATTTCCAAGTAGAAAAAAAAAAGCATAACTATCGTTAAAAAACATATTGGGAGAGGGCACGGAGTCAGCCCACTCCTCAGGGGCACAGCCCCGCTCTGGCACGGTGCTACAATCACAGA